CGATAAAATGAAATAAGATAAAATCGTGCAAATTCTTATTATTCAGTAAGACATAAATAAATAAATAAAGAGATCCCATTTTAAATCAAAAAAAATGTAGAAAGGAAAAAAGCATTGTTTGTGTGAATCACAAAAGATTTTTTTTGAATATTGTCCGCTTGAGAACGTGAGATGGGCTTTATTTTTTAGCACAAAATTCAGCTCTAAAGTTGGCTAACAAAAGTTAATTGTTAACTAAATTCAGATCTATTTATTTGAGCCCAAATTATTTTGTTGACTTAGTTTGCACCTCGCTCCAATCAATCAATACGTGTGTTAATGGACAAACCACAATCAACCATCCACGGGTATTCGACCCGAAATAGACCCACATTCATGCTCCTTACCCGTTTTAGCTTTACGTTTTACAGTCTGTCTAGAATCAGAAAGAGCGGCATTGTTATCGTAAAAGATGGAGGAGAGAGAATGCGCCGCCGCCTCCCTCGTGGAGGATGCCAAGAGAAGATGCCTCATTCTTTCCGATCGCCTTCACCGCTTGAGCTACAGCAAGCTTCCCTGGCACCTGAAAAACACNATCTGTCGATTAATCCAATCGGAGCTCATCTTTCTCCGCCGCGTCCCCGCCCTCTCCCACTCGCTCAGGTTCCTTCTTACTATTTGCTGCTCCCTCGGCCCTTTTCCATTATCCACTTCTCTTCTAGTCAGTCGCGTCTGTGTGCTTGCTTTATTTTTTCCTAATTTCGAATGGCAGCCACAATATCGGTCACCTGGAGGCCGTGATGCACGTTCTTCAGCAGCCGTCTGTTACAGGGGTATCGCGCGTTTGCAAGGCGGTTAGTTTGTCCCATTCGCGTAGCATTTACGTCGATATCGTGTGTTCCCTCAACGGAAATCCTGTCTGGTTCATCGTCTCTGATAGAAACCCTAGATACATTTCCTGGGATGGTGATTCTCGTGATAAAAATAAGGGGTTAAAGCAAAAGATTGGGCATGTCCTTGACTCTGCCCGTCAATCCTCTGTAACGCTAAGACCTTCGTCCATCATGCTTTTCTTCTCGAGGGGACTCCACAGTAGTGTTGATCAGAAGCTTAGGTGTGAGTTTGGAGCTGTTGATTTTGAAATGGAGAAGTTTTCCTGTGAGGAGCTCGAAGTGGAGGGGGGATGGACTTATGTAGTGCTCGGTAGATTGTTTCCTGATGCTCTCGTTTTCAAGATTGTGGTTCATGAAGATGATGATACTCATGAGACTGGAAAGAATCTTCTTGATTCTGCAAGGATGGTTGGCCCTGTCTCGTGCAAGAAGAAGCACGATGAGTGTTGTGATTCAAATAATGTAGGATCATCTTTATGTAATTTTGTTTCGGCCATGAATTGTTGGTGCTGCTGCTCCTCGGATGTTGATGATGATGATAATAATGTGGGGCTTCAAGTTGGATCAATTAAGAAGCAGTCAAGGAAGTGCAGTGAGGCTAAGGTGGTTAATTTTGATACAACTGCGTTGGTCGCGATTGTGTCTGGAATTAGTAATGGTGGGTCGGGGAAACTTTTGGCTAAACCTGAGAGTGAACTAAGAGGCCGGTTTAAAGGCAACTATGACTTTGTTATTGCCCAGGTAGCCCAACTCTCTAAGGCGTGCTTTGTATATTTGGTTGTTTCTTACGTTTATTTTCTTTCAAGAATGAGCTTTTTGGAAAATACGCCATGTACGTATGTTTGCTATGCATTCAATCGTAGTTAAGTTCGTCTCTTGTTTTGATTGAAGTTGTGACACATGATCATTTTGCCAGGTCGACTGTGAACACCAGCATCCAATCCACAATGAACTGTTAAGTTCAATATCAGGAAAACAAGGAATTATATGTGAAAACGTGCGCTCGGAGTTTGAGGAGCTAATCTCAATGTGCGGTGGACCCAATGAGAAGTTACGAGCTGAATACTTTCTCAAGTTCCTCAAGTGAGCTCTTCGAAAAGCAAAATCCTTTTGACTTAGATTTGGTGTTAATTAATGCTTCAACTTAAAATGATGGTTTTAGGGTAGTGCCTGATTGCCCGTCAACGCGACTGATTAGCCTTCAGACAACAAGAAAGCTGGCTGTGAAAAACAAAGTGGTTTTTGGGACAGGGGACAATTGGCGTGCTCAAACCGTGACAGCAAACATGGGTTTTGTGAGAGCCGTCTCACAGACAGGAATGTCTCTCTCTGTAATCGAGCACAGGCCACGTGCTCTGATTGGTGAGTAAGAGCTACTAGTATTTGCCCGGATGTTTGATTGATATAGACCAGTTATTTGCTTCGTACGATTATTTTGGCAAAACTCACCTGGATTAGGATTTGCATATGATGCTTGCAAATCAGACGGTAGAATATATATGGTTCTATACTGTACTAATCCATCTATCCAATATCTCATTCAAGCCAAACGTTTCTTAATAAATACAAATGGATTTGGCACACGTCTGATAATCACATGAACAGCTATTGGTTCTGATAATCAGTGGGGTTCAAAGTTCAGCTAACGGGAAGATGGTGAACAAATTCAGCCAACGGGCGATTGTTTTTCAAAATGAATGGGGAATAAGCTTAGGACCACACTACCCGTCAATTGGATGTCTTCATTCTCTAAACGGCGCCGGCATCAAATACTTTAATTATAAGCCGGAATTTAATTATATTTTTCATTTGTCACAAGTTAGGACTATTGCAATCTCGAGACTAATTTATGCTCATCATTTTCAAAATCAAAAGTAAAATTTAGACCCTCTCAAACTCTCAAACTGAGAAACAAAGATCTAAATTTTGGGTCCTTTTCTTTTTGAAATAATAAACAATTGGAATAAGTACATATTAAGTAACACCTAGCATGGCTACATGATGATGGTGACGTTAGCCTTGACGGGTAAGTGGTGGCCAAGAAGGAGACTTTTCGGTATTTAGGATCGATGCTACAAAAGAATGGCGACATTGATGAAGATGTTAGACATAGAATTGTAGCCGGTTGGTTGAAATGGCGTCAAGCTTCAGGCGTTCTCTGTGATAAGAGTAGGACTGGGCAAAAAATTCGAACCGAACCGCTGAATCGTAGATCCGAATCGAAATCGAACCAAATTTTCGGTTAACCGGGGTACTCGGTTCGATTACAAATACCTCAAAGGAAGTATTTGTTCGGTTCGATTCGGTTACGATTTTTAGGATTTTTTTTTTATCCCGGTTAACCGAACCAACCGAACCATATATTATATTAAAATTTATAAAATATATATTATATATTATATTTATATATATTAAACTAACTTGTTGGTATGGTATTCGCGAATTAACCGAACCGAACCGAACCGAACCGAACCGAACTGTCGCGAATAGTAGGATTTTTTTCGGTTAACCGAGATTTTCGGTTCGGTTTCGGTTAGCAAGTTCGAATATTTGCTCAGTTCGGTTTAGTTAGCAAATACCTCAAAAAACTCGAGTATCCGAACCGTGCCCAACCCTAGATAAGAGGGTGCCACAAAGGCTAAAATGTAAGTTCTATAGGACGACGACTCGCCCGACGATGTTATACGGTGCTGAATGTTGGCCTACAAAAAGGCAACATGTCCAACTACTAAGTGTAGCAGAGATGAGTATATTGCGTTGGTTTTGCGGGCACACAATAAATGATAGAATCCAGAATGGGGATATTCGTGATAGGGTCGGGGTGGCTCCAATTGAGGAGAAATTGGTTCAACATCGACTGAGGTGGTTCGGACATGTCCAACGGAGGCCTCCCGATGCACCGGTGCGTAGGGGAGTTATACAGCGGGTCGATGATGTAAAGAGAGGTAGAGGTCGGCCTAAACTCACTTGGGAAGAGTCGGTTAAGAGAGACCTTAAATATTGGAATATCTCCAAGGATTTGGCGGTGGAAACGAGCGCTTGGAGGCTAGCAATCAATGTGCTAGAACCATGACTTTTGTTCCTTTCTCTTTTTCTCTTTTGCTCCAATCTCTTCCTTTTGTTTTTGAGCCCTTTTGTGTTTCTCTTACCATTGGTTTTCTTGGGTTTCATCTCTCACCTACCCCAATTTGTTTGGGACTAAAATGCTATGTTGTTGTTGTAGTATCATTGAATTAAATAACTATAAAAGCATAAGGTAGGAGAATTGCTCGCAACCAGCCTACTTAAATCCTACGTAAAAATAATAATAATAATAACAAAAGTTTAAAACAATCAAATTCCCACAAATGGAGACTCAAAAACTCCAATAATGAAGACTAATAAATATCAAAAATAAAAAAAAAAAATGAAGAAAAAACAACAATAAGTTGATAATTAGAAGAAAACACAAATGAAAAACACAAATGAAAAAATTACTTAACTACTAAATATAATAAAATTAATTAGTGAATTTGGTCTTGTAAATTGTAATAAGGTATAAAAGGTAATCTTTTAGCCCAAATTTGAAGTCTGATAAATGAGATTACTACTACCCAAAAGAAAAATAAAAAAAATTTACCAAGACTTCGATAAATGAGGCACAAAAAAATAAACGTAAAATAAAAAATAAAAATAAAAAATCAGAACTTGGGCCTAATGTGGAAAAATTTACCAGAGTCACGGAACTAAAAACCTAACCTAAGCACCTAACCACCCCCCCACCAATTGACTGGAACTGGTCCTCCCCTCAAAAATGCCCACCTAAAACCTAACCATCTTCCCCCTCATCGCCCGAGCCCAACCCAAAATTGCTCCCATGGCCTCCGCCGATAACCCCGTCGCCGCTGATCACTTCAACGAAGACGAGGATCTCCTCGACGATGAGGAATTCTCCGATCACGACGACGACGACTCCGCCTCCTCCGCCGCCCTCGCCCTCGATCGCCCTCCCCCCTCCGCCTCCGACGCCCAGGTCACAATCGCCGTCCCAGGAATCGCCGATCCCCACCTTACCCACCACCACCACCACCAACACCACCACCAGCCGCAGCAGCAACAGCAGACCCAGGAGATCGTGATCGCTCGGCGGCCGGTCCCACCCGACGAGTCCCGCAAGCTCTTCCAGCGCCTGTGGACAGACGAGGACGAGATCGAGCTGCTTCAGGGGTTCCTCGACTACACCAGCCAACACCGAGGGCCCCACGGCTCCGCCCAGCACCACCACGACACCACCGCCTTCTACGACCAGATCAGGAGCAAATTCCAGCTCGATTTCAACAAGAACCAGCTCGTCGAGAAGCTCCGGCGCCTCAAGAAGAAGTACCGCAACATCATCAACAAGTTCGGCTCCGGCAAGGACTACACCTTTAAGAGCCCCCACGAGCAGGCCACCTTCGAAATCTCCGCTAAAATCTGGGGTAATCTCCCCCCGTTCAATGTCAACGTCTCGTCCTCCGCCTTCCCTGCTGTCGCTGCCCCTGTCTCCGCCCCCATCACTGTCCCCATCGAGGATGATGACGATGACCTCAACAACCCTAATTTTGCAGATTGCCAAAGCCCTAAGCTTAATGGCATCGACATAAACAGCAAAACCCCGCGGCCCAAGAAGAGGAACCGAGCTGGCATGGTGAAAATGGAGGAAAGACAGCATCATGCCTCCATTGGTAACATCAATAATTATACTCAGCCACCACCGGCTGCGGCTGCGGCTGCGGCTGCGGCTGCTCAGGGTATAACAGGATCACTATCGAGTGTAATTGAAGAGACTGTTAGGAGCTGTTTATCACCCATTTTCAAGGAGCTGCTCAGCAATTCTATGAGCTCCAATCACAGTCCACATGGACTGTTCTGTGGACAGCCTGGGTATGAGCTGACACGAAGCCCACTGCCCTTGGGTTTCGCGGCGGCAATGGGAGGAGGAGGAGGAGATAAGGTGGCCAACAACAGGTGGAGGAAGCAACAAATATTGGAGTTGGAGGTTTTCTCCAAGCGGCTGGAGCTGGTGCAGGATCAGATCAAAGAGCAATTGGAGGAGCTTAGGTCCATGGGGAATTGATTGGCGGGTGCGTAAGTATATATCTTGCTTTTGCATTATCTTTCTTGATCCCATTTGTTCTGTACATGGGTTGTTGTTTGATAGTTGTTACTAAATGTGAAGCTGCAGATACTGCTCTGAGTATGATTGGTTTTGCTCGATGTCTTCACATAATTGCTGGATACATTTGACATGTAAATTTTGGAATGTGCTAGTTCTGACACCTTTATCTGGGCCGGGTGCTTTCAAGAGAAAATGTGTCAGCAAGTGATAAATTATCGTTGAAGCAAAGAGGGAAGACCTGGTTTAGAATCTTTGGGGACACAAATAATTAGTAGGTTTTGGTTGCTTGCTTTGTAATAGGGATTTTACTGAATTTTCTTCCTTCCGTTTTCCCCCTCTTTCGCCTCTTTGATATATTTATGTCTATCCCATAGTTAGAAATGTTGTCTTGTTTCACTTGTGATGTTCCCAGGCCTGTTCTTTTCTTGTTCTATTTTTCTTGTTGTAAACGTTGCATGAATACTTATTGTGGAACCCTTGATCTCGATGGGAAAAATAAATATTAATTGGTGTTTTATTAGAATTGAATTTCAGGTTAACTATGTGTATTCTGTAAGTTGTAGTTTCTAATCAAATAGAAAAATCTGCTTGCACGACCCATTAATATCCTAGTTGGAGTATCTTGACCATGCCAATACCAATTGTACACTTGTAAAACTGCTTACTTTCTATGCCAGAAATTGCCTTAGCCATCTGTGTAAACCATCTTCTATTGATGTAAAATATTGATGTTGCCTACTACTGTTACATTGTGTTGATCCCTAATATTTATGTGTGAACTGAGCAAAATATGCGGATATGGAAATGGAAAACAAACTGCTCACCTTATCATAGTAAAGAATGTCTTGTCTCAGAAATATGGGAAAGAGAGGAAGGAAATGTCTCTGGAAGCATATTCCGAGATTCTTATTGAGGTTGTTGGCCGTGATCTTGATATTGAACCTCATGTAGAGACTGAATTGAAATTGAGTGTAAGGTCTGATATCCTGAGCTTGTCACCTCTGCTGGTCTGCCATTACTTTTACGACTCTTGTGTTTTGAATTTCACTTATTTTTCTTTACTATGAAACAAAAAAATATATATATTTTTTTTTACCAGTCAGCTTGTGTGCACTCACATATATATACAGTTATACACTCCTGAACTGAGGCTAAAGAGATGGAGCTTGTAGAATGTTCCCTTGCATAGGATGAATTTCATGTTTTCCTACCTAAATAGTCTTACAAATAAAGTGGGAGATATATCAGATATATGTGATGAGCCTTGGCTTCTTCCACGTTCGTATGTAAATGGTGTTTCAATTACACATCGTTCATGCAACATTACAGCTGCACTCATCTTTGTTTCGAATGCACAATGTTAAGAGCAAAAAAAAGACCACCATTGGTAATGATTCTGAGAATATACTGAGATACGAATTGAGTTGAGTATGAATGAATCTTTTAACCGCGTGAAAAGACAACAAACACAAAGCCTACTAAAAACAGGGGGCGATACATATCAAGAACTATGTAAAACATAAAAAGCAGCACGAAGTCTAGCAGCTGTAATATTTCCTCTCTCTCATTCCAAGCAGCCATCCAAATGAAACAAACTCAATCAAAGAAAATAAGGAACTCCAGTTCTTGGTCCACGCATTTGGTTGTTCTCTTCAGTCTCTGTGAAAAACTTCACCTCTCGCTCCTAATGCAAGAAAACAGGTACATCAAGTTATATGTCGAAACTATTGAAGCTAAACACACTCACACAGAGATCAACATAGAAGCAATACCATATTCTCATTGAAGCTCAATATTGATGCCACATTTCCACATCGATAACAATAATTTGGTGCAGACCACACCTGCATTGTTACACAAAACGAAATGATTAGATAGTTATAAATAACTCAAGACAATATCTGTCCTGATTACTAGGTTGCAGTTCATGATAAGGATACAGCAAACTCACAGTCACGAGTCCTTTATCCTGAAACATGTACTTCAGGCCTTCTTGAACAAGTTGGTGTGCCCGACAAACTAGATCAAGTTTGTTAATATGGTTGAACTGCAGGAGAAAAAAGAAATCGTATTATCTAAACAAAACAAATATTATAAAGCTAGAATGGGTTTTCACGATGTGGGATATTCATGGATACTGAATGTGTAACTCTATCTAATAACCATATATCCTACAACATTGCATACTAAATCCATGTATTCACCTCAGATGTAACCCTGGAACCAAAAAGCCAGCCTGCTCCTCGAGGACTAACAGCCCATGTCTCGATATCTTCAGGATCACTCCACATCAAGTCACAGAAGGGCCCTTCATGGGGGATCTCACAGTTCCTTTCAATTACTCGAATCTACACAGCAGCAGAGGAAAGGGAGACACAGTTATGACTTAATAGACTAGGTATGACACTATTTAGAGCCAAAACAAAGCATAACAGCTCCACATAAAATACATGAAAAACATGCCACCGTTGAACTCTTGAACTATGAGATCATCTTCCCAAGAAAAATGCAAAAACTAAGACAATATATATCCTAGGAAAAGCATGGAAGCACTCACCACTCCCTTGTATCTACCATACACAAATTAGATTACTATCATTTGTAAAAATGTAAACCAAAAAATCATCCGATGATAGAATGGTCTAACCTGATCGATGGTTCTAATATCTGGGGATAGGCCACCGTGCACACATAGTACCTAGGATTTCAAAGAATTTATAAACTATAAGAAAAGAGAGACTATTTCCTACTACAATTATTGAAGGGAAAAGGATGCACACCGTGCCATCAATGATTGCTGACAGTGTTAGATAGTCAAAGACATCTGTGCAATATCGCCATGCATTTGCATTCCCATACTTTCTTTGGCACTCATCATAGAACCCATAAACCTAACATAGACACGCAAGTATAGATCCATTACCAATCCAGACTAGAGAAGTAACCTCAGATGAACACATTTTAAGGAATAATAGTTCTCATCATCATATAAATCATAGTTGATACCAAGGCGTGATAAAGTCTAAGATCCAGGAGAGTACGGCTTTTAATACAAACAAAACCCAAGTAATAAAGCAACATTGCAAAACCTTAGAAACTTAATAACAAGAGTGTTTCTCCATAACTGTGTAACTATCAATTGGCAATGCAGTAACAAACCTTTTTTTTATCTCCAAATGTGCCATAGTAACCAGATGTCAGAAGTAGTGTGAGATTGGTCAAATACATCATAATATATTTGAGCGTGTTAGCATGTTATTCGAAAGATTATAACGTAAACCTCCTTTTCTGTGATCAATTTCCACTGTAAATACTTCGCTATGCAGCGAATAAATGAACTATCAGGCCATTAGTTGTCTACATAAATGTATAATCTAATTGTAATGATAAGTGAACTTCATTGCCAACAACCACTTCAGGCTACACAGCCATAATAAGTGAGGGTTATTATATCAATTACCTGAGTTAGTTGCCTGCTTTCATGATTTCCACGTAGGAGAGTGATGTTAGCAGGGTATCTAGAAGCAAGCACGGACAGTGTAAATAACTTGTTGTTGACCAAATTTGTAACAAATAATCAGAACTCTGAAATCTGATGTACCTTGCTTTGAGAAGCAAAAGGATCGTGAAAACTTCTAAACTGTTATAACCGCGATCAACAAAATCTCCCTGCCAGAAGAAAGGTTAATTGAAATAGACACAAAATGGGCAGTTAAAGACAGGCGCGAAATCACTTTAAACTATTTACCATAAATATGTAATTTGTTTCTGGTACATGACCACCAGTGTGGAAAAGTTTCATTAGATCATGAAATTGTCCATGGATATCGCCACAAACTGTGACAGGGCTGTTGACGGGCTGAACATTTGACTCCTCAATTAGAATCTCCTTTACCTGAATAAAGCAGGACACGGATCAACTTAAAACAGATGAACATAAGACCATGAGAGGGGTGACATGACGAGAAAAAAGAGAGAATCATGAAGTCAAAAGAATAAAGGAAATATTGCCAAACACCAAAGTCCTAACAGAGAGGGAAAGTGTTAAGGTCCACGTATCTAACTACAAATTGCTTGTCTCGACTCAATCATGGTAAATATAGTGCATTAGCTCACAAGAAAACTAATCTACTAGCAGACAAATGAGCAAGAAGCCCGACTAAAATTGGAATGTATGGATAAAATATGACATACAAAACTACAATTTCCAAACGAAAAACACAAATTATCCTCAGGTGCCAGCATACACACCCTCATTTTGATAAAAAGTGCACATACCATTTTCTAGGGAATTATGAAAACTGAGAAGAAAGCATATAGAATGAGGGAATCAAGGTGCACATTCCATATTGAAAGGAATTGCAGAAAATTCATTGTAACTTGGTCGTCACAAGCTGAAATAGTTGGTCCCCATCATCAGTTTCGAAGACCATAAAGTTCACATAGCTGGAACATTGCCACAAACACCTAATACTAGTGCAGTAACCAATAGCAAACATATCTTGGAAAACTGCAAACGAAACATATCTAACGCACTAGGAAAAAAAGTCAATTTTGTGGTTATCAAGAAATTATGGAAACTATACTAGCCATCATCTGAAGCAAATTGACACAAACTATAACCACCATCTGTTGACTGCGGAACAATCCTAAAACCCTAACTTAGGTGCATCTCAAGAAAGCAGCACCTAGAAACCCGGCCTTCTGCCACAAAAATTAGTCAATGCAAGACCCTAACTCCAAAATCCAAGGGCAAAATTTGATCTTATTCTTTTTCTCTGTCCTTCCTCTCCAAAAAAGATTAATCACCCACTTGAAAAATCGAGCTGATATTAATTTAAAGAAAACGCAAGAAAAAAGAAAAGGAAAAGTAGGGAGTAGACGAAGTAGATACGTATTCACAAAGGAGCTGGAGGTCGTCTTCGGACAAGTGCTGCCCATCTTTCACTTTTGTAATCCACTGATCCAAATCCATTCCTTTCTCTGTGCTTCCAATGAAAGAAAATGATCGATTGGCTCTCCAAGAAAGGAAATTACAGCCCACCAATAGAAGATTCAAGTAAGCAGTACTTGGGAGGTGTGTACGTATTGATTGTTTGTATGTATATGAGAAGAAAAAAGAATCAAACAGATCCGATGGAGGGAGACGGCAGCGGTGCGGAGGGGCTGAGGCGCAAAGAATTAATTGTGGAGGCCAAAAAATTTGGGTTTTGCTCTGGTTTTTTTATTTTAATTTCAGATTTTGCCCCAAAAGAAAGAGGCAAATGAGCCGAGCGGCGAGCAGCCAAGATTCAATAAAGGCTCCTTCAACAAATGGGTCCCTTTTTTCACTTTTTTTTTATTACCTATATCTTAATTTTCTTCTAATCTCATTATATTTAAATTTAAATAAGTATAATTATTATAAACAAAAGGTATCCTCAATAGTTTTTGTTATGTTAGTCACAAATAAACGTGTTCGATTCTGCTCAAAAAGATTTTTTTAATACACTTTTAAGGGCAAATAATTGTGAGTAACCTGAACTATACTTGTTTTTGGAATTTGCAACCTAAAGTATTTTTTTTTTTTTTGTAAAATGCAACCTGAACTACATAGACAATCACTATTTGCACCCTCGACCACATTTTGACCGTCCGATCAATAGCAAAAAAGGGAACGCGTATGGTCAAAATGTTGTCGAGAGTGCAAATAGTGATTGTATATGTAGTTCAGGTTGCATTTTACCAAAAAAAATACTTTAAATTGCAAATCCCAAAAACACGTATAGTTCAAGTTGCTCATAATTTCTTTGAATGTCTTAATACATTTCCCTTGTTTTCTGGTCCCAACATTTTATAGTTACATTTGGTAGTTTTGCTTAATTTTTTTTTTTTTTTCTATATAACTAATTACCAATCATTTTGGGAATCTTATGGTTGATAACATAATATAGAGATCAGAGTTTGTTTACATAATATAGAGATCAGAGTTTTATTACAAAGTTAAAAAATTGAAGTATGAAATCATAGGAATATTATGCACATTCTTTGTTTATAAAGAAGCATATCAAACTCATTATTTTATTTGTTTTGAAACTTGAAACCAGTGTTTAAAATAAAGAGTGAGCTTATTTATTGCCCCTGGATATCTTCTATCAACAAAGCAATATTAAATAAATTCTTCATACAAAAAATGGACTTTGATATGCTATTGTAAAGTTGCTGTTGAATTTGAATTGATCCAAAAAAATACCGGCTCCCTTAGCTCTCAGAAATCTCAGTCATTGAAAAATGCAGGAGCCAATTGCTACATACAGCATCATTGTATACAACAATGGTAGTAGACCCTCTTGTGTGTACATATAAATATATTCTAGGTGTAGGATTCTCATGATTACGCGCAAACTCCCGAGACTTTTCGTGTGGAGAAACGAATCTGAGTAGGGTCCCCGCCTTTCTCTTCAAAGACGACCAATACATTTCCCGTTGGCTTGAACCATGATCTTGGCACGTGGTACCTAATCCACAAAGTAATATTTATGCTCACAAGACACATTTGTGTATATAGCAAAAATGTTTGAGCAAAATGTGAAAAAACAAATGGTGTTTCTTCATTCATTACCATCTTTGTGTGGCTTTGTCACAGTCTGTGTTGCATTTGTTAGGCATAAATTTGCCTCTGTAATCACACTTCTCGACACATTTCTCGGTGGTGGAGGCTTTTCGGGACCAATATCTTCCAATTTCATTTCCATTTAACCAAGCCATCCCTTTCCCCATGTGAACCATGTCGAGTCCAACTGGGTCTTGCCCGGGTGGAGCATTCACAACAGCCTGTAATTTTTAACCATTTTTGTCGAGTCGTGACAAACTTGTAATGTCTATACACTACAAGCAAAGCAAATTCCGAACTTCTCTTACCTTGTACCATGTGAGGGGTTGTTGTTTAGGTGGCTTCGAAGTTGATGACCAGTTCACAGAATTCGAATGATCTGTATCGTATATTTTCAAATATTCTCCTTGAACTCCAATCTGATAATGCAGCATTAATAGAACATGACTTATTATGGTTGTGTAATTTCATATTCAGGTGCACATTCACATACTAGGTAAAGAACCCATTATCTACTATGATGTGACTAGAAAAATAAATATCAGTAATTTCGTCAGGAATTTCAAGCTTGAAATTTGAGGCTATCATCCATTGGCATACAACATGTAATGTTACTTAACATGCATTCACGAAGCATTAAATCAATATTGGGTGAATCGTGAGCAGCAAGCTGTAGAGATAGCAAAACTTATAACAGGAGGAAAGGTAAAACACACCTTATAGGTCCATTGACGGTTGGTCAAATCTAGCGTTTCATTCTTCTTCCCTTCAATTAGGACCTTCGTTGGACCAGCTCCAATCCACTCATAAAAAGGCCCCGCAGTCTATTATTCACCCAAAAAGAAACAATGTCAGGGTAAATTGAGAAAATAATATGAGACACACACCGCTTTATTCATCATGATATATTTGACAAAGCACTTCATTTACACGCAGAAAGATGTTGCAATTCTATCTAAGTTAAATACATGAACATGCTTCCAAATTCCCTGGAGATGTCTATCAATAATTTTTATTGGATTATCAAAGCATTACTGTGATGTAGTGAAAATATTTTTTGATTTACCTTATCTGAGCCAGGTAAAATGAGTTTGTTGGGATCGAAATGATTGTGAGAAGCTGAAAATGGTTGACTTGTTCATGTTAAAAGTATTATTATAATTTAAACTGTTAAACTAAGGTTTGCACTACGCTCTATTAATTCCATCTGATCTCCATGCCAAGCATATCAGGTATAACTAAGGACTTCTAAAGAATATGAAACTGAAAAGAAAGACCAGGTACCTGAAGACCCATAGTCATGCTCAATAAAGCAATTTCATTCACTCCAGCCTTGAGCGTTATGGGACTTCTAAATTTAAAACGTGGAACTGTGCCATTTCCAGACTGAGTACCTGATGAGAGAAGCATAAGTTAGAAAATTCAAACCATAAAGATAGAATATTATTAGCAAGATAGAATATTATTAGCAGACTACAGTTAACGAGCAAGGAAAATAACCTTGGAGCTTCTGATTGATGAAAACATGCATGGCATGGCCCTTTGATTCAATAACAAGCGTAGGACCTTTACCGCGTTTCAATATCTCGTCATTCTCAGTAACGTTTAAGCTATCACAAAACAAAATTGTTGAATGTTAGCTGTACAAATGTGATGCCAAATTCACCGAGCATATATTTGCTTCTTCCATCTAATTCTACTCTAACCATTGGGTTGTTTAAATACGAACCTTGTTGTATACCAGAGGTAGTCTGTAGTATCTTTTGTAGAGTTAATATGGTCCACCAATCCATATTTGGTGAAATCTGAAGCACCCCAAATTCCGGCTTTCTCCGTAAACACATCCCATTGGAGACCTTTTAAGCCATTACTTGGGGGCATAGCTGATGGCTGCAAATCTATTGGTATCATCTCGACTGTCAAACTTTGAGCATTGACCTTTGCTGTATTGAAAACTACATTTTTGCAGTCCGGCAGGATGCTAACAGACCATGCTGGGATGAGATAGGATGAATTTCGAAACACCACAGTTTTGTCATTTTTATCATCGGTATTAGAAATGAAGGCCGCACAACTGCCAGAGGAATCTTCAAAGACATCGGCCTACAAATGTTTTATTCATTCTGTAATGATTAAACAATTGGCTGGAGACGATATAAACCGCAAACTTCAACTTGCACCAAGCTCAAGGTGTTCACAAGTAAATCATAAGTCTCGTAGCAATATGATGCAAATGAGAGGATACAATTACGGTTAAGATTCAGAATTTACCTCTTGTGAAGGGCCTAATGAGTGATTACTGGGTACTCCATTCAGCAGTAAATGCTCACATAACTTTATGGATCTATGAAGCTCTTTAAGATGGCTCCATTTGGGGCATCTAGCCAATCCTGCATGCAATATAGTAATTAGAAGTGAACCTAGATGAATTATGTCTCAAATGCTATAATTTCAGAGGGATAGACAAAATAGTTGGAACAGTTTTACCATATTCATCAATGGGTGCATCATAGTCATAACTTGTGGTAATGAATGGTCCTCCAGAAGTGCGCCCGAAGTTTGTTCCGCCATGATACTGTAAAATAAAAAAACAAGATTTAAGTAGGAGATAGTGGAGCATATTGGACTGCAACTAGCATCATTACAACCGCCTTCTCAATAAATAGGGGTTGGAGGTTCTGAGAGATTGCTCTCCAGAAAAAGAACTAACAATGACAATATACCATGTAGTAGTTATTTAGGCTTCCTCCTTTCTGAAAAAAACGTGCAACAGAAAAGGCAACGTCTTCTGGAGGTCTGTGAGGGTCACTAGCTCCAAATGTTTTATACCTGTTCAAGGCATTAAAAAGCAGCAGACGTATTTTTAAATGATTCCAAATATTAACATTTTCATGGTTCAGAATTTGCTTAAATTATCTGAATATACTAGAATCATATCAATAGATGAATGCGCAACAATGAGTTTTCCGCTAAAATAAGCTACCAAATTCAAATTAAATGGACATTCTTGGAACTAGATGGGGTTTTTTTTTTTCCAAGAAATACGAAGTGTATCTCCTCAAAACTATATTTCACTTTATTGGTTTTGTAATGAGGGAAGTCAATATCACAGGTTGCCATACTTTGTGACAGACACTCTTTGCATTTGTACAAAGTTGATGCCGTTCAAAATTATTTGTGACTAGGAGCCACCAAAACTCTATTCTAGCTCATCCCTAAGGACCCTAACTCTTCAAACCTTTTATTAGTAGATTCTTTTAGATTTGTTGATGTGTGCAAAATTTCATATGATGAGAGTTCTGTCAAACCGGATTTTATTATTTCAGAAGCTATTCTACTAAAATACAGATAAGCAACCCAGACAATCATACAAATTGTCAGTTGAGAACTCAAATTGCAAACTTGAATATTGGTTTCTTTATTATCAGCGCGGTTGGTCAGCGTTTATACTTATTTTCCTGTTTAAATACAATTTGCCATAGCAAGGCATGACACTATTATAGCACCCTTGAAACTAAAAAAGAACTGTATTATCTTCCTGTATTATCTTCACTGCTCTAGGTCATATTGAACATATGCATGCAAAAACACAAAACACGAAGATAAAACTAAGAAGGCTACTATCATAACATACCATCCAGGCCAGTTTTCAGTCCAAAACTTGGGCTTGTTAGGAGATATTGGTTTGAACTGATCACAGTAAAAGGAATTGCATGTGTCGATCTAAAAGATGGAGAAACAATGTTAGGATGTTATCTGCAAGTCAAATAACTTACTGACATGAAGGAGGATTGCACATGATAAGATGGAGAAAATACAAGGTTTCTAGTGACAGAGTGGATGGACAAAAAAGAACAAGGTGTTGATGAATGCTTACCACAGTATCAGGAGGATCAAACTGCTCGCACATAATCCATGGTACACCAATATTCTGAGAAACAGCCATGTTAGCTGCCCACAGAGCATACCTTTTCCCACCTTCCCCATACGCAGGCTCATAAAATCCATATTCATTCTCTACCTGCTCTTTCACAAAGCAATAAGACAATGGGAAACTTCATAAAAAATGAGAATCTTCTATATGAAGAAGGAAGACCGAGGAGTGAAGGAGGCAAGCAATACATTAAATAGCCAAATTTAAAAACAACTCATAGTTAAACGTATATTGTTTCTCCCTTATATTGTTTTAAAGATTAACTGGGAGGAAAAAAGTTTGTTTGTCGGTGTAGAATATCTCACTAGTAAGTCTGTGGTGTAAACTCATACTGAAGATGCAATATTGACCTGCTACTTACGTAACTAAGGTTACTTCAAACAGAAGTAAATGCATGGAAATGTAGAAGTTTGGTTAGCGATACTGGTATGGTTGACACAGAACTTGATATTTAGTTAGGTTTCAAGCATCAGCCTGCCCCCTTCCTTTGTCAATATATGAGCCATACCAACAATAAACTTGTCAAAAAAACAGCTCGACACATTGTAACAGTTTAATTATTAGAGGGGCACATGGTGGACAATGCAATTTTTCCAAGTAAAAAGATATGCTGAAGTGATCAATGAATCACAAGGATCAAACATTTATCATCAAGAGAATACAGAACATAATATCCAGGATTTTATGATTTTTGGAGGACATGTTACTACCGAGGAACGAAATATGAGATTTTCACACAACGTGGTGCCAAATTGTGCTCTATGCATAGCCAGTATCACACAAAATGATAAGTAACAGTGATATCACTCGTGAAACACAGGATCTGAAATAGACACTGGGGGATTACAAAATTAAAAGAGCAGGACACACTTGCCTGCGCCAGGATTATAGGACCGCCCTGTGATGCAAAAAGATTCTCTCTCTTCATCATCTCCACAATGTATGTCATGAACTTCTTCATGTAATACTGGGATTCCGAGCATTAATACAAAAGTAAGTCAAGCACTTGCATAATCTACTGGGCTTCAAAAACAAGTAGAGGAATAAGAAGATGAAGACATAAATCAAAACCTTGAAATTCTCGTTATCGGTTCGAAAGACAGTTCCTGGAATGTAGTGCAACCAAACAGGTACTCCACTGTGAAGATAAAGTTGAATACATTGAATACATACAACACTTGAATACATTGGACTTCCATAAAACAAATGACAAAACTGTAAATCAAGCACTGAGCTTGCTTTCGAGGCCCTCCTGAACTGATCGAAGTATATGTAAAAGAAGTAAGGACGTACCCAAAGTTCCATTCAGCAGCGACAAACGGACCGATCCTGAGGATCATGTACATGCCAGCTTGCTGAACTGTCTTGCAGAATTTAACCAGATCATACCTTCCTTCAAAGTAGTACTGTCACAAAGAGAAAACAACAGGAGGTTTAGATATTTTAGTTAGCTTTTGTTTTTTTCTAAGAAGAAAGCAGTACATAAATCAGCAAGAGGGTAAATCGAGCAAAAGAAAGACAGACATTGTCAGGAGACAGCTCGTGACCGTTCCAGAAAACATATGTTTCTATTACATCGACGCCGCCTTCCTTGGCCAGTTGCACCAGCCCCGGCCACATCTGTTGGTCAACACACAAGTTAGTTTCAGATAAACAAAATTAATCTACAATTTGATTGAGAGAGAGGGGCAGACGGCGGGGACGCTGCGAGGGTAGTGGATGGCGGCGGAGATGAGGAGCTTGCGGCGGCCGTCGATGATGAGGGAGCGGGTGTCATAGGTGACATTGTTGGCAGCGGAGGCCAAGAGTGATGAAAGTAGAAGAAGAAGAAGAAGTATGAGTAAAGAGGAAGATAGGGAAGAGGCCATTGGTCCTTGCATTTTTCTTTACTTTTTTACTCACTCACTCACTAACTCACTCTCTGTGCATTGTTGTTGTTAAATACTACTCCATAGACAGCCTCGGTCGGTCGGTCGGTCGCGTACACAATCTGTAAATAATAATCAATTGAATTGCGCGATATAATTAAGCAAAATCCAAGTGCTTGTTACTTGATCACAGATATGTGTTGTGTAGTAGTAGGCGACGCGAAGCCTGCAAATCTTTGCCTATGACGTAATAATGTTTAATAACTAATTATGAATGCTGCTGGCTATTTGGGTTTGTTACCTAACGCGTTTTTTTTATTATTAATAGATAGATAGATAGATAGATGGTGTTAATGCGCGCGCCTAAAATATTGGTTGTTTATTTATTTAATTAATAAAAACAGGAGAAGGATGCAGCACTTGCATTGCATTGCATATTGCATACAGCTGGAGCTGGGGAGGGACAGGGTTAGTGTGAATGGTCGTCGGTCAATCCAAGATCTACTTTTCGGATTCCAGAGACAGACCGGCGGTGACCATATATGTTGCAGTACTATATTACAGTATTTTTAATTTTTATTTTTTATTTTTAAATTTTTAGAAAAAAAAAAATATATTAGGTATAATATATATATTTATACATGTGACAATCGAGGTGAGGTCTTACAACTTGTTAGATGCTCCTCCTCATTCAAATGAATTCTGATTGGTCCGTCTGTCCGTCCGTCCAGAGGTTTTTGTTTTCCCAATATATTACTAATTCTTTTGCCTTGTAAAAACAAATTATTCAGATCTCCTCAATCAATCAATCCTTCCAACCAAGCAGATATTCTTTGCTTTTTCCAAAATATATTTCCAGTTTTTTTCAAGTACTGGTATTAGTTATTATCTGCAGTTTTGTTTGCCCATCCGCGGTCATATGAATCCAAGATAGATAGATAATTCAATCTTACTTACACTTTGTGCGCAAGTAAAACTCTCTTCTTTATCATTACACAAACTCAACCACCCAATTCCTAGCTAGCATAATAAGGACAAACAGACAGACAGACAGACGGACAGACTTCATCACGATAGCTGCTGCCTGCTGATCACCAACACTCAACCAAGTCGACTTTATCATCACACAGTCAACCACTCAATCAATCCCTAGGCTAGGCTAGCATCAACAACTTTATCCCTCCCCTCACATCACAAGAACACAATTATATTAGAAACTCAAAATCGGAGTACAATCGAAATGTCAACTGACTGAACAAAGTTTGGATCTACTACTACTCTGCACCATTATAAATTATAATATCTTTCACCATGTGCATAAAATCTTCAAAGAAATCGGTGGCAGTAGCAGACTGCCATTAGGCCAGCCCATGTGCCCTCCTAAGGAGCCCACAAAATACATTTGTTAATTGCATTCACAAAGTTTTCTGGTTCCATAATTAGATTTCCCTTTTCCTCAATCCATCCAATCATCAACTATGGAAAACAAAGTTTTTTTCTGACCCTACCCCAATGCCCCATTAGCCCTTGATTTACACACACACACACACACACGCTGGCGGGTGTGAAATCAAGGGCTAAAAAGTAAAAACCCCACAGGGTAAACACAAATTTACACGGAAAACAAATAGAGTATAATACAGCAGCTTTCATATAATTCACCCTGCTTACATATCATTCTATCTCTATTTCTTGTGGCACATCTTCTTCATCAGCATCCGGGTTTTTACTAATTTCCTCCACACTTAAACCGGAGGCTTCAACTGTTCGGCTCACCCATTCCTTCAGAGGCTCCTCATTCAAGTTCAGCCTCAAGAGCCCTGCAAATATCCCTCCCACGAATGCAACTGGTTCCTATTACAGAAAGCAAAACAACATAAGTGGATTTACAAATCTCCATAACAAATGGAAGTTTGAAAAAAAAAAAAAAAAAGTGATTAATAATAGGTGATAATTTCCCTTGACATAATCTGGATGGTCTCAAATATTGGTCAACAGGAATGCATCATAAAAATGGCTAATCATTTGCATAAGAAATATGCTCTTGCTGTCAACTACTCTTCACTTGGTCTTATCATCTTATCATCATCATCAACATCAACATACCCAGTATATTCCCAAACAGGTTGGGGTTTGGGGGGTCAGTTGTACGCAGACCTTACCCTTGTAATTACACAAGGAGGCTGTTTCCATAGCGACCCAAGGTGCGTTGCGTCGTTTGATATATTTTTTTCTAGAAACTTCACTAATAGAAGAAGCACTAGAATTTAATTGAGCCATTTTGATCTAGTCCATTATTTGCACGATGCCAGAAGAATTGTCAACATTGACTCTTCCAGCTCCATTTGCAATGGACTCTGGTCTTATCATCTTATGAAGCAGCTTAAAGTAGATAGCTTAATATTCTTACAAGCTATACGAGATTTGAATCAGGAGACTGAAGTTGCACATCTCAGCAAGTATATCCTGCTTTATGCGACAAATAGCCAAACCAATCCGCATTCACAAAACCATGGAGAAAATTACCATTGTTATAATGATTTTAACCACATAGGAGACAGCTAGGAACAACAAATATTTAAACAAATCAACTCTTAAGGAACTTCAACTACAAAGATGATAGATGAAGGGCATAGACTAGTGCCATTGCCATCTTTTGCAGCCACTTGTTTTTTACTTTGAGAAATTCGGTTCATGCCACCACTTCAACATCGATAAGAAAGGGTTTACGAACCATTGGATTCACACAAAATGAAGATATAGATAAATTTACAGTTACATAAGGGTTTAAAATTTACTTGTTGCACCCAACGGCTTGTAGCATTACATCATTGACCCACTTGAGCATATACCAGTTGGGAAGTGCAAAATTACTCCAAATATAGAAAAAGGTGGCAGTTTGTGTCAACCCAGAAATATGAGTTAGCTCCACTTATTGAAGGAGTAAATATCAAACCAGAAAAGCAATCATTATCCTCCTACATATGTAAATAGCGATATTATCTGTTAATATATGAACATTGGTTCAAGAACTAATGTGATTCACAGACAATTTAAAAGAAACTGTCTAGCATTGTTGATAAAGTCATATTCACTAGACTCTGAAGCCAAATCACCCCCCACCCCCGGCATTCGTGTCTAGAAGAAAAACACAACACTGTGCAATATACAAAACAACAAAACAAAAGATAAAGGGTAGGAAAAGCATTAACCAGGTTTTCCTGACCTTTTATGAGGAACAATGTACTTTGCTGAAAGCCTCAACTAAGTCTATGTTTGCAGTCAAAATGGCAACGTTAAAACATCCAATGACCAAAAAAAAAAAAAGAAGACTCTAATTATCTATTAACTACCTATTAACTACGAACAAAAAGAATTGTATAATTATGTTAGGATACATGAAAGTTAGTATCTTTACAGAAGTTAGCATTTCTCATACCCTAGGACAATTGATTTTCCATATCTAAGATCATCATCAATAGAAGCACAGAGGGACTATAAATTAACCAAGCGGCATCAACCAAGGCTAGGGTTAACTAGCTCAATCTAGATGCACACGTTGTCAAAAATCGCACACAGAAGGACCAATCTTTAGTACTTCAGCCAACAACAGAGACTAATGAAAATTCGCGCTACACACAAAAGAAAGGGGAAAACCAAAATCGCTCACCATCAGAAGATAACAAGTACATATGAACATTCAAGTTCGTATAATTGGTATTAGCTGATTAATGGCATACCTTGAGCGCCTCCTTCAGAATGGGCTCTTGGATGGGATTGGGGAAAAAAGCCATCACCGGGCCGAGCCCACGGGTCCTTACCAAAGAACCGGCAACCAATGAATTACCAGATGAGAAAACCAGACGTTTGCCTCCTCTAACAGCAGACTTGCAGCTGCACTGTAAAAGCGGATTAACACCCAAGAAATCAGCTCTAAAACCCAGACCTTGATGATTAGTTAGTAGGTAAAAGGCATAATTAATTGCGACAAGTTTCCGGTGAAACTAACCGGCGGCGGCGTGGTAGTGACTGTTGCAAGCGCATCCAAAGCCATTATCTATCTATATTGGAAATGGCCGATGTTCTTTCCCCGAACCGCATTTTCTAGTTTGGTGCAAGTCGTGTGTTTGTCTTGCGATTTTAGCTTGGGATGCCTTTTTCTTTTTCAGGCCTTCCAGGAACGCTTTTAGTATTAGCAATGTCCAAGTCAAAACAACTCAATTTAATAGAGTAAAATACTCATAATTGAATTGCATTTACCCAGTAGATTAAAAATTACAGACATAATAAATAAAGTACAATTTTATCAGTATATACATTACATTACTTTAAGAATTAACTAGTACGTAGCATGTGCGATGCACGGGGCATATGTATTAAATGAGTCATTTTTACATAGCTTGTCTGTTAAATAGCTCGTGCGATTCACGGGAGATATTAAATGAGTGGACCACAGAGCTTGTTCGTTCAGGCCTAAAAAATAATAGAGTTTGATCATCTATCTTTTTGCATCTTTTCATCGAGGTCATTTTTTTTGTCGGAACATTAAACCTGAGTCTGGTAGCGCTAGCCCGTAAATTAATTAATATATTATCTTGCTCACATGTTTATAATAATATAAATTTGACTTCATTATATATATTAATTCCTTGATATAAGAAAAAAAAATACAATTTTACGTAATCTTGTTCCTCATATAATACTCATATTATTTTATTATAAAATTTATTGTAATATAATGTCATTATTATTATTTATAGAAGTTATAGATGTAGTCTTCTTCTTCTTTTTGTTTTATGTAATTAAAATATGTAATGTATCTTCATATTATTTATTAATGTAATTAATTTAAATTATGTAAATAAATTTAAAGCAAAACATCATTGTACAAACATTTTACAAAATATACACAAATATTTTTTTAGAATTTAATTTTTTATAATCAATAAACATCTTTGAAATTCTATGCAAATATTAAAACCGATAAAATTTGCTTTATTAAAACCAATTAAATCTTCATTTATAGGCTTGACATTAAAACCTATTTTATGCGATTTTTTTAACTAAACCGATGCTGTGGGATAAAACAAATCTATACTTAGCTTTGACTTTTCTAACAAAGGTAAAAAAATCGGTTCTGATTTTTATCTCATAACAAATCTTTAATGTCAAGCCTATAAATACCAAAATAAATCTGCAATTAATGTCATTCTATTTCTAGTAAGCATTAATTACCTTTAACTTTTCTGTCTACTATTTCTAGTAAATAGGATGATCTTTTATATAAGTATAGATTATATTTTTATTTTTAAAATTTAAATTATATTAAATGTTGCGTCAAACCAGACTCGATTACCTGATAAACAAACCAAACTATTGAATTCTAATTAAGAAACATAGGGCGAATCCTGGTCAACTGAAGGAGAATGATGCAGAATATTATTATTATTATTATTATTATTATTATTATTATTATTTTTATTATTATTATTAGCATTTAATATTTATTTATATTTAGTGATTTGGAGGACAAGATATATTTTATGGCTTAAGTGTCTTATTTAGAGACCTCTCTTATTTGTTATTCAGTAGTGAATTTTGAAAGTAAATATGATATTGTGAGTTTTACGTGTTTTATGAGTCATTTTCACTCGTACGCTTTCCCTACAGTTACGAGTATCAACAAGTTTGTGATGCACATCTTTTGAATGGAAATTTCCTTCATAATTCTTGTACTGACTCAAATTATAAAAGATATATGATGGTCTTTGTTTAAGTGTTAATGTTACTCAGAAAGGTTCATGAATTCAATTCTGTGACGAACGAAAACAAAGAAACGGCATAATAATAATTAAAGAAAAGGACTAAACTAACAAGCCCTACGTGGATTGAGTAGAATACATGTAAGAGTATTTGTTATAATATATATCTCGTGACTTAATATTATATATAATGATCCTCGAGCTCTAAAAAAAATGTTGGTCAAAGTAAAAAATGCCCAACCAACCAGTCAATATTGCATCTTGAGAAGTGGGGTAAACATTTCTCAATTAGTCAAACCTCCAAATACTCCTAATTTTCAACCTTTAATTGAGATC